ATCCTTTTCTCCCCCGGGGACTTGGATGTGGAGAGCGCAGGCTGGGATCCCTGCAGCCGCGAGGCCAGAAGCGCTTTGCCGCTCCCTTTTCCGGGAGACACCCGACCGACCCACGGCATGGTGTCTCCAGGTGGGTCTGAGTGCAGGAGTCAGTGTTTCCTCACTGGGGAAAAAAGGTTTCTTGGGAAAAAACTCAGGCCCTGAGCCAGCAGCACAGTGGAGGATGCCAGAGCCTTAAGGTGGCTTCGTCTCTGGTCCCCAAAGTGGGCTCGCAACACAGGTGGGGTTTCCCAGGCCCCGGGGAGGCTGCAGGGTCCGTGCTGGCCCTTTGCCTGGCTCCGTGTTGGGGTCGGCACCCAGGGCCACCTGTGTTCAAGCTGCTGGGGGACAAGGGACTCCAGGGAGCAAGAGGGACCTGGGACCATGCACGGAGGGGAGCCCCAGCCTGAGCTCCTCCAGCAGCGGCACCGTGTGCTGGCCTGCCCGTGCGTGGGAGTGGGGCGGCTTCCCAGCTCTGCCCTGCAAAGCAGGTGTGGGGAGGCAGGTCCGGGTTCATCAGGTGCAGCCCTGCTGCCTCTCCCTGCCCTGGGATCCCTTTGTCCCTTGGAAAGCACCTCAGGTTATGTCACTCCAGGCAGTGCGGAGACCGGGCAGAATCAGGAACCTGTCTCCCCTCCGGCCGGCCCCACTTTCTGTTCCCTGTTTGCTCCCAGTTTCGGTTCCATTACTCCCACGTCCCACCTTGCCAGCATTGGAAGCTCTGGGAGACGGGCCTGAGGGCCCAGCAGATTTCTTAAGAGATTTCCTACATGTCTGCCCAGAAGGCCGAGAGAGGACAGGCAGGAGAGCAGCTGTTGCAAAACACCAAGAAAGGCCTGGCTGCCGCAGAGCACAGCTGCCATGCTGGCTTGTGACCCCTTCTACCCTGTCCTGACCATGGGTGGGTGTGGGTCTAAGTTAGCCTGGGGGCTGCTCTACGTTGCACCAGGCTGATGCAAGGGGTGTTTTGCTCATGGCTTGTGCCAGTGGCCATGGGGAGAAGATGTCCTTGCTGAAAAAGAGGGGATTGTCCATGCCCCCTTGGCAAAGCCAAATCTGGATGGAGCAACAACTCGCTGCTCTTTGGACCCTGCCCAGATCTGCAAACACAGCATGGCTCAACCCTTCCTCTGGGGCCTATCACATGCCCCGAAAGGGGACACACACAAGCTGGTTCTCTTGACCCCGAAACTGCTTGGCGTAGGGTGAAAAGGGGCATTGGAGGGAAGTTGAGTGATGCGGACTTCTGCGTTTCCAG